ATTAGGCTCAACTTTCTTGCCCTTGGGAAAAAAATGCAAAATTGCTGTCATAGCTGTTCTTTCTCTGAAGAATCAAAGAAGCAAAAAACATTCATGAAGGAGAAGGAAAGGAAAAAAACGAGACGACATTTAAATGTATTCATCCATTCATTGCAAACATGTCGTGGAGGCCTACTCTGTGCCAGACTCCCAGCCATCTTGGTGTGTAGAGCCAAGAATAGCAGAGAGGCAGAAAACAAGCAATGACAGGTGTGAGAAGAGTTACAGAGGAAGGGCACTCTTCCTCTTGTATGCCAGGGATCAGGGAGGGAGTCCCGGAGGATTCACTGATTAAGCTGACGCTTGAAGATGTATAAGAACTAATGGACAAGATGGCAAGGAAGGTTTCAGAAAGAGCGACCAGCATGGGGGAGGGCCCTAAATCTGGAGGGAGGGTGATACATTTGTCAAGTTAAAGTTAAGTTATCATGGCTTAGGGAGAGATGTGGAGAGTAGATCCCACGGAAAGCTTGAGGGGTAGGTGCGGTCACATTACACAGGCCTTTTTAGACCTTATTAAGGATTTGGAAATCTATCCCTGAAGACAATATGAAGCCTTTGGAGCATTCTAAGTGGTGAAAAGTCATGTTTCAGGGTCCTATTTAAAAAAGTTAAAACAGGGCTGGGCACATTGGCTCATGCCTGTAATCCCAGCACTTTGGAAGGCCAATGTGGGAGGACTGCTTGAGCCGAGCAGTTTGAGACCAGCCTTGGCAACCTAGGGACACCTTGTCTCTAGGAAAATAAACAAAATTAGCTGGGTGTGGTGGCAGGCGCCTGTAGTCTCAGCTACTCAGGAGGCTGAGATGGGAGAATCACTTGAGCCCATGAGGCTGAGGCTGCAGTGAGCCAAGATTCACAACTGCACTCCAGCCTGGGTGACAGAGTGAGACCACATCTCAAAAAAAGAAAAGTTAAAATAGATTGGGAAAGGGTAAGAACAGTCACTTGAGTGACAGATCATGGTAATTTGGTCTGGAACACTGCAAAAGCATGTAGCCAAAGTGGGCAGATTTGAGAGTTGTTTAAGAGACAGAATCACTGTTTCATTTAACTATTTCCTGGATTCCCACTGCGTGCCAGGCTAGGCACATATGTGCTAGGTGTGGGCACACAGGGGCAAATAAGAAAGACACAATCCCTACCCAAATGGCACTTATGGTATGGTGCGGGACACAGCCACTCAATAAAAGCAGTATGCAAATTACACCTGTGATACATGCGAAGCCGCATCAGTATGGGAAGCTGAGACAGCACAGTCTGGAGGCCCAGAGGTAGGGCTTGATGACTGAATGGATGTCAGGGAGACAGGAAAGGTGTATGGCTTGAAGGTCGCCTGGGCAGATGGCGGCACCATTCCCAAGAGGGTGACTAGATTCTAGCCCAGATGGGATAAGTAAGATGATGAGTTCTGCTGGGTTGAGAGCGATGTGGAACTGCCCAGGCAGTGAGTCAGGAGAGGAATGGGCTCAAGAGGCAGATACGGAATTTAGCATCAGATCCCAGAGGCAGCGAAGGGAGAGAATTAAGTGACCAGGGCAGGCATTGAGAAACAGTGTGAGTGCAAGAACTATTTCCTGTTTAGCACTGTATCTGCCATGCCCAGCCCCGGACCTGATGTCTCTTAAATAGTAACATATATTTTGTCTAATGAAAGAATGAACAGTATAAAACCTCTACTATAGAACTTGGGCACTAGTAGGTACTCAATTCAGACGCTACATTTATATATCCTCATAAAAGATACAGGCATTCTGCAAACTCAAGAAGATACAGTTCTTATGAGATGGCACTCCATTTCCTCTGCCACAACACACGCTTTCTTGATATTGGAATTAGAAACGACAGATTTCATTCTCTCATTGATCCCTTGACTCTGGAAACCTGAATACCAGGGTAATAACCCACCTTGCCTGGCTCTCCTAAACTTTCAAATAAGCTCGGGTGGGGCTGGCAGGGCTAAGAGCTGGAAGGATGGCTGGCAGAAATCGTACTCTATCTGGCTTTCGTCAGCCAACCAAAAGCCTGCCGTGCTCCCTCTTAGACACTCGGCAGTGCTAGTCAGTCTCCAGGTAGGTCTGATGATCTCCAGGCCCTGCGTCAGCCCACAACACATTCCCAGTCGTCTTATTAGAAAAGAGCACGTGGAAGCCCATCTGGGCTGGAAAACTGGGTCTCCGACACCCTTCTCTGGGCCATCACACATGTTCAAGCAGGGAGCAGCCTCCCCAGGCCCACACGTGGGCCTCGTCACGTTCTAAATGCCCCAAGGAAAAGATGCTGTTCAGGCTCTACCTCAGAAACGTGTTTCAGCCTCTGGCAGGATGAGGGAGGGGAATCAGCTTCCCTGGGCTGCTCGATCTGCCAGACTTAGAATAAAGAGCTTTTCAGAGCCTGGAGTTTTCCAGCTGCCTGGAAACAGGAAGTGCCCAATCCCCGAGAACAGTAACCCTCACACACGCCCTGCATAAAGACATGTTGAGCCATTAGCCCTAATTGCCTGTGACTGACACAGGAGTGAAGCCGGTCTTCCAGGCATTCGCTCAGCAGAAAAGAAAACAAACAGCTCACTGGGGACCCAGGCAGCCATTTTCTCTCCTTTCTGCCAAAATGATCCTGCTCTGTTCCCCCCAGATTATAACATACAGTCTTGAAATTATAAACAAAACAAAGGTCTTTCGAGTATTTCTTACCACATACAAAAGAGAAATAGCTCCGTAGGGAGTAGTTGGACACAAAGCAATGGGTTAGTGAGCTTTTTGCTTTAACCTTTGCTAAAATAAAAAACCTCGCAAAAAAAATCTCAGAGCTGCCTCTCAATACTGTCAGTTCTTGCCAGGTTGGAGGTACGAAGGTATGTTGAGCAGGGCTTTCTGAAGAGAGGGGAGTTAGGTAGCGTGGTGCATGCTAGGAAAACAATACCTACATGGTAAAGGTCACATAGGCCTTCAGATAAAGGATTTTTGTTTTGACAATTACTCTTTTGAAAATGTCTTAAGCCAGGCTAGGCAACTTGGCAAACCCCTGTCTCTACAAAGACAAAAACAAAAAAACATGGTTGTGTGTGCCTATAGTCCCAGCTACTTGGGAGGCTGAGGTGGGAGAATTGTTTGAGCCCAGGAGGTCGAGGCTGCAGTGAGTCAAGATCACACACACTACTGGACTCCAGCCTGGGCAACAGAGTGAGACTCTGTCTCAAACAACAACAAAGAGAGTAGCTTAAGAATAAAATAAGGAGATGTGATAAGGGAGGGAATAAAAAGAATAAAACAGCACCTTGTAGTCAAATAAGAGGCCTTAATCCCTTCCTTTTCCTTTATGAATTACAAGGGCTCATAGGACACACGCCACCAAGCCATCGTCAGCCAGATCAACAGCAACTAGAGTGACACAGATGTGGGTTTCCTCTGCACCACACTGATAGCTAGGACAGGCAGTGGGACTGGCCCCAACCATGATGGGAGCTGCCGAGAAAGGACTTCACCTCCTGGTTCAGAAGCGTTCTCTTCCTTTATGACCCCTTCACAGCCACTTGAAAAATATCACTTAGCAGGTATAACACCCACCATTCAGTGAGGGCTTCATGTTCACCATCTTATTTGAACCCCTTAACTTCCTGGGGAGATATGTATGTTGATTATCTCTACCTTACTGAGAGGCTAAGTCATTCAGTCAAGGTCACATGGTGAGGGGGATGTGAACCCATAGCTGTTTCATTCCCAGGTCCATGCTTGTAATCTCCACTCATAATATAACCAAACTTGAACTTCTCTTTGGCTTACAAGGGCTGTCTTCTTATCATCCAGGGTCTTAGTTGTCAGATTTATTGTTTAATTTTTATTTTTGAGACAAGGGTCTTGCTCTGTAGTCCAGGCTGGCACAAGTGGCATGATCACAGCTCACTGCTACCTCTAACTCCTGTCTCAAGCGATCTTCCCACCTCGGCCTCCCCAGTAGCTAGTAACTACAGGCACAGGTCACCATGCCCGTGTGTGTGTGTGTGTGTGTGTGTGTGTGTGTGTGTGTGTGTCTGTGTGTGTCTGTGTAGAGACAGGGTCTCACTATATTGCCCAGGCTGGTCTCAAACTCCTGGCCTCAAGTGATACTCCCACCACAGCCTGCCAAAGCACTAGGATTGATGTGGGAGCCACCACACCATGTGACTGAACTAAAAGATGGCAAGAGGACCGGGTGTGGTGGCTCATGCCTGTAGTTCCATCACTTTGGGAAGTCGAAGCGAGTCCACCCACCTCAACTTCCCAAAGTGATGGATTACTTTCGTCAGGAGTTTGAGACCAGCCTGGCCAACATGGTAAAATCCTATCTCTACTAAAAAAAAAAAAAAATTAGCCAAGCATGGTGGCATGTGCTGTAGCCCTAGTTACTCAGGAGGCTGAGGAAGGAGAATTACTTGAACCTGGGAGGCGAAGGTTGCAGTGAGCCGAGATTGTGCCACTGCATTCCTGGGCAACAGAGCGAGATTCCATCTCAAAAAAAAAAGGGATGGCAAAAAAACTGGTAGCTTATGTTAACTTAAGTCCTAGTTATGAGAATAACATACAGCTATATTCGCAGCCTAAAGCCCAACTCCTCCACGGGCTGATAAGATAAAATTCAAGAGAGAAAAGCTGTTTTCTAGGCAAGATCTAGGCGAAAACCCTCCAATGATTCAGGAAAGCAAAATGAGCTCCTTGTTGTGTAAAAGCCACACTCTTTGAGTCAAGCTGTTCATTTCAAGTCACAGTACAAGGTAGCATTGATTCTGCCCCAGGCGACTGAGATTCTTTTTAAGATTTCTGTAGAACAAGAAGTTCTTCCACACCTCCCTTGCTTCAGTGCGCGGCAGCCTCCCCAGAGGCTACTAGCCACTAGGTAATAAATAATCATGTTGTTTCTGCCCTGGTGAAGGAGCCTCAGTCTTTGGGGAGGACAGATGTGTTATGGGATAGAAGGCTACTCACCCGGCCGGCAGAGCATCGGGGGCCTGGGCAGCCGCTGGGAGCTGCTGTGTACCCGAAGTGCTGGGTTCCTCTCCTTCAGCCGGTGTGGCTGGGGCAGGGAGAGAAGTCGTGTTGGGATTCAGGGTCACACTTGCGGGTGCAGCAGGTGGGGACGTCACACCAACCACGGAAGGTTCTTCGGGATCAGTGGCTGTTGTGGGTTCGTCATTCACTGAAGATGCACAAATCATACTTTAAAGATCAACTAAGAATGAGAATTTTATTTACACTTGCTATGTTTTTCACTTAATAGGCTAACACGGTATCTACAATGTTACACAACATATACTGGGTGACAACAAAAAGTTTTACAGACTGTAACCTTGGAAATTACAGCAAGTCAGTAATGCCTATACAAAGGAAATCACGATGAATCTGAAATAAATACATTAACACTACCTCTTTTACGTAACTTTATCAAGTTCTTCTAATACACAATGTTTTAACATACATTTAACTGTGTTCTAACATACAAGTTTTCTAACATACTAAGCAATAAAAGAGTAGCAGGAAAGATGAACATAACAGAAATATGTTGGGGTCAGGTGCAGTGGCTCATGCCTATAATCCCATCACTTTGGGAGTTCCAGGTGGGCAGATGACTTGAGGTCAGGAATTCAAGACCCACCTGGTCAATGTGACAAAACACTATCTCCGCTAAAAATACAAAAATTAGCTGAGCATGGTGGCACATGTCTATACTCCCAGCTCCTTGGGAGGCTGAGGCAGGAGAATCACTTGAAGCCAGGAAGCAGTGGTTGCAGTGAACCCAGACTGCGCCACTGCACTCCAGCCTGGGTGACAGCAAAATTCTGTCACAAAAAAAAAAAAAAAAAGTGCCAGGCTAAATGCAGCAAGGCCAAGGCCAAGTTTATACCATCACATCCTTTTCTTTAAATTTGCCATTTGTTTGCTAGACACGACTAGCACCTTCCAAAAAGCTCATACACACAAAAGAGGCAGAGAACTTTCAATAATGTGCTAATTCTAGGACTCACGTTCAAAGTAAGAAGCGAGAAGAGCTCACATCTAAGGTTCTTCTCTCTGAGATAACAGACGTGAAACCGAAGTGAAATACACTAGTCCCCAGGTCTCCCTGTTTCACCATCTCTTCACTTCTTTGGTGATCACTTACGTTCACAAGGACCCCAAGGCATTGCGATATCCTCTAACTCAAAAAAGGATCAAATAAGGTTTCACAGATTTGTGGTTTTTTTAGAAGCAAGAAGCTATATGCAGAGAATTTTCCATATATGTGCTTGTATATGTGTACATTTATACTAGAATTTCATAGGAAAATGCCTTAGTCATCATTTAGCCTCATCTTCCTATTGAGAAGAGAAATTCTTTTTGTCATTTCTCTAACAAATGGCTATCCAGATTCTTCTTGAACGTTTCTTACAGGAAGCTCACTAAAGGACCACCCCATTGCTGAAGAGATGTGCTTGCCAGAAAGTTGGCGGCGGTGGGGGCTTGGGGGTGGGGGTTGTTTTGTTTTGAGACAGAGTCTCGCTCTGTCACCCACGCTGAAGTGGAATAGCACCATCTTGGCTCACTGCAACCTCTGCCTTCCAGGTTCAGGCAATTCTCATGCCTCTGCCTCCTAAGTAGCTAGGATTACAGGTGTGTGCCACCACATCTGGCTAATTTTTGTATTTTTAGTAGAGATGGGGTTACGCCATGTTGGCCAGGCTGGTCTTGAACTCCTGGCCTCAAGTCATATGCCCACTTTGGCCTCCCAAAATTCTGGGATTATAGGCATGAGCCAGGGCACCCGGCCCAGAAAGGTCTTTTTTTTTCATGTGAGGCTGATTCTACTAGCTGGTCTGAGTCTCCCATCTCCATCACCAAAGCAATTCAAAGTATCTAGGCTGGGTGCTGTGGCTCATGCCTCTAATTCCAGCTCTTTGGGAGCCTGAAGCAGGAGGATTGTTTGAGCCCAGGAGTTCCAGACCAGCCTGGGCAACCTAGTGAGGACTTATCTCTACAAATAATTTAAAAGAGTAGCTGGGTGTGGTGATGCCCATCTGTGGTCCCAGCTACTCAGGAGGCTGAGAGAGAATCACTGGAGCTGAGGAGGTGGAGGCTGAAGTGAACCATGATTGCACTGCTGCAGCCCTGCTTAGCTGACAAAGTGAAACCCATCCACCCATCCATCCATCCATCAATCAGTCAATCAATGGCCACTGTTTCTTGTTAGTCTTCTCTTTTCCAGTAAAGAGGCCTACCATTTCTTCAGTATTTCTAGGCACCCCCCTTTCCCGATCATCTGGCCACCCTCTTCTAGATATTATCTACTGTTTCTTCTAGAGAATCATATCAGGAACTGAACATAATAAATCAGATGCCACGAGGCCAGCAGAATCAGATCACCAACTTAAACACCAGTCAACATTTCCAGAACACCAGCATGTGCAGTCAAGGTGTAAAGCACTTTGGATCATCTCATTTAGGCCTTACATGCAACCCCACAAGTTAGGCAGAACTGATATCTCATTTAGCTAAGGCTCAAAGAGGCTACATCCTCTCCCAAGGTCATATAGCACGTAATTCATATCCTGCTGTTGGCCTCCAGAGCCTAAACCACTTGTCACTAAGCTCCACTTCTCCCTCTCTGCACTTCCTCTAATTCAACCCAAGATTATATATAATAACTCTTAGCAGCCACGTGATCCTATTGGCGCATATGGGACTGGTGGTCAGCTGAAAGTCAAATTTCTTCATGTGATATAATGAATGCCAACCTAGATCTTAACAAATGGGTAGGAGCCTGAGGCTAGAAATTGCCTATGTTTTATTCACTGGTTTTCTCCAAAGTATACAAAATATTGCCTGGCACACAGGCTAAATCTTGTGCAATTAATGTTTCCCTAACAGAAATGCAAGACTTGATATTTATATTCCTATTTATCTCAGGCAGGCCAATAAAACACAACAAACAGCAATTCACTTTATGCATATCTATACATTTTACTCAATTTATATCATGACTTTTTTGAGAGCTAGATGAACTTATTCTAAAATTTATTAGGAAAACTAAATATACAAGAATAGCTATGAACATTCTAAAGAAAAAGAGTGGGGTGTGTGTGTGTAGGGGAAGCTAGAAAAGAGTGGTATGTGTGTGTAGGGGGAGTTTCTAAAGTATTAAAGCATACTACAAAGCTGCAACAATTAAAACAATGTGGTAGTGATGCATGAATAGGCAAGTGTCTAATAAGAAAGTTCAGTAATAGGGTAAATAATTAAATAATTCACTGAAGATTGCAAAATAGTAATATTCTACTTCTACCACACCTTCATTTATTAGCCATAATACTTCTGTAAAGAGAAACTTCTGCTTATCAACTACTGGCTACCTGGAGGTTCAGTTTGTAAAGAAAAGGAAGGAGAAATGTTTACTACCTTCCCTTTGTTTACCAGTTTTCAGAATGAGTTGATTTCCTTGCATCCTCTAAAAACGAACAATGAGGTTTCATTTTGTTTAAGAATCTTTATGAGGCACTAGATTCAAGTGTGTTTTAAAATATTTCAATCTATTGTGTTTATTTTTTATTTATTTTTTTAGACAGGGCCTTGCTCTATCACCCAGGCTGGAATCCAGTGGCACAATTATGGCTCACTGCAGCCTTGAACTCTCAGGCTCAAGCAATCCTCTCGCCTCAGCCTCCCAAGCAGCTGGGACTACAGGCTCATGCCACCATGGCTGGCTAATGTTTTGTTTTTATGTTTTGTAGAGATAGGGTCTCACTATGTTGCCCAAGCTGGTCTTGAACACCTGAGCTCAAGCGATCCTCCCACTTCCACCTCCCAAAGTGCTGAGATCACAGGTGTGAGCCACTGCACCCAGCCTAATATTCTTTTTGATCCTAAAACTGTCCCCATCCTTGGCTGGACTTAGAAGGGAAAGGGGAAGTGAACAAAGCTCTTCAAGTTAGCTTCAAATACCATAGGAAAATTCTAAGATAATTACTAAATGAGAAAGTGCAGAACAATGTATAATTCTGCTATCATTTGTGAGTCTGTGTGCATACATGTGTGTTTTTTCTACGAATATATACACATATACTTGTATATTTCAAGAATATCTTTGAAAGAACTGCAAGAAACACAACCATGGGCCTTGAGGGAGGAAACTGAAGGTTAGGAGAATAGGAAAAAGACATTCTTTATACCGTTTAAGCTTTTATTTTTATTTATTTGAGATGGATTCTCACTCTGTTGCCCAGGCTGGAGTGCAGTGGCACGATCTTGGCTCACTGCAACCTCTGTCTCAAGCGATTCAACCTCTGGGTTCAAGTGATTCTCCTGTCCCAGCCTCCTGAGTAGCTGGGACTACAGGTGCCCGCCACCATGCTTGGCTAATTTTTTTATTTTTTAGTAGAGACAGGGTTTCACCATATTGATCAGGCTGGTCTCGAACTCCTGACCTTGTGATCCGCCTGCCTCAGCCTCCCAGAGTGCCGGGATTACAGGTGTGAGCCACCGCACCACGACACTTTTTTTTTAAGTTTTATTAACATACATGTACTATTATTAAAAATAATTATTATGAAATAGTTGACCATAAAAGAACAAAAGCAGAGCCCCTACAGCATGCCGGGAAAAAGACCCTCCAATCAACACTACTTGGATCTGACTATCCATGCAGCTGCAAATCTAGTTAGAAGGGTTCCCTCCAGAGCTGTACATGTCCACAGGCCTATCCAAGAGCCTCTGAGTCACCCTGGTTCACCCATAGTAGCTCTTCTGTTTAAGAGTTTGCGTGGGGTGGGGATGCAGGGAGGGATAGCATCAGGAAAAGAGCTAACCAGCGCTGGGCTTAATACCTAGGTGATGGGTTGATCTGTGCAGCAAACCATGGTGGCACAGGTTTACCGATGTAACAAACCCGCACATACTGTACGTGTACCCCGGAACTTAAAATAAAAGTTGGAAAAAAAAGAAGTTTGTGCTACACTTTGAGTTTAGATTTGGAAACAGAGAAATAGGAAGGCTAGATATCCTAGCATGGACAAGACTTCTGTGCCCATGAGTATTCATGAGTACCCCTCTTCTGCTCTCAAAGGGTATGAACGCGCGCATGCGTGTGTGTGTGTGTGTGTGTGTGCACATTCGTAGAACAGGAGAACTTGAAAGAACCTCAGGAGTCAATCCACCCCATCACAGCTC